TTCGCAATTTTGAGCTCTTTGTCCCACTATCAACATACACATAACATTTGATCATTATAGCTTGTCAAACCAATGGAAATTAAGTCTGATACAGGAAAGAAATATATCCAAGGGTTGGTATTGCACACTCAACGAACACACAGCTTTCTTTTCATAACTTAATTTCTATCATACATGCTTAGTGTCATTCACTCTTTTGGTCCATGAGAAGCAGCAAATGTTGCCACTGCTGGTGCCAAATGTTAAAAAACAACGTAGGTACAAGGCACAGGCTGGAGACCCATGACATTGCAAACCGAGGACAGCCAAGCAGATTGCAATGCACCAACTGAAGTATACTGCATAACAGGAAACTTTTTTTTTTCCAAATTTCATGATGACTAGATCATCAAATTTTTACACAGCTGCTCAAGTACAGCTGGACTCTATTTAAAGCTGAGATCATTAGCAATGTGTATTAATTTTATTTAACAGTATTGGACATTGTATACTATATATACAACATGAGCAACAGCAAAACGTACAGAATCAATCTTATTTATTAATAAATCCACAGCTGTAAATTCAGGTCTCAGCCGCCTTGAATCACATCTAAACCTAATTTGTTCCCTTCATGGCCCGAATCCACTGCCCTCATCTCTGTCATGTTTCAGCAGCCCATGCAATCACTCTCCCAAACACCTGACCTTTGTATCCACTTCTCACCACTGAATGTAGTCTATCAACTTTCTATGTACCTGGAGCATGAAAAAAAAGGTAAATTAAGACAAAATGTCAGTAAATCAGGAAACAAACATGATAGAGCACAAAAATGAAAAGATTTGGGAGACAAATCAGAGACAGGATATAAATTAGATTCAGTGAGAAAAAGAACTTGAACTATATCTTATCTCAGGATATTGAATGAAATTTGCATTACTCGTGAATTACCATTCTTAGGTAGATAAATATGGAGAACATTTGCACGTAGTAAGGTTTAGCAATCACAAAATAAACGAGCAGGTAATCTGAGATAACAAGGTGTAGAGCTGGATGAACACAGCAGGCCAAGCAGCATCAGGAGCAGGAAAGCTGACGTTTCGGGCCTAGACCGTTCTTCAGATCTGTCTTGGCAACTTTGATAGAGAAGCTCAATGATTACACAGCTATTTGAACATTTGACTTCAGCGACAAATGATAATGGCTTATGATTGTGGAGACTAGATAAATGAAGCTATCAACAAGCTCCAATGTTAATGCTAACTCATAGTGATGTGTCAACATCCTGGACTGAGATATTTATCTCCCCAGTTCTGATCGGCAAACAAAACTCTTTACAAGTGTGAGCAAATCTATTTGCTGCTGGAAGTGTTTCTCAAAATGAAATGCTAGTGTGGCATTAACAGCATAAAGCAACTCTCAGTTGAAGTCTTAGCACCTTTGTATCTCACATCTCAAGCATGCAATCCTGAATGGCTATCTGCCAGATCTGATATGTTGGTAGACACCCTCCATAGATGAACTGCAAGCATACAATAGTCAAGAGGAAATACTCAAGTGTGTCTGTGGTCAGAATGTTTGACTCAAAGTCAAAGGGTTTAAACCCTTTAAAAGGGTTGAAATTTTACCATCGTAGCTGGCTTGATCCATCATGTTGTCATGGAAAGATGACATCACACAGAGTAGCTATGAGAAAAGTAATGCTGGTTAAGATATTGCTCTTCATCGCAGCATAAGGGGCATTATAATATCTATCTATAGAAGCAATGAAGACCTCAGACTAACAACAATTCTAAAAATGCAACATTCTCCATACTGTGTTGCATCATTGAAGGCATATTTGTAACTTCTAAAAAAAAATCCATTGGATGTGGATATTGTTGACTGGTCTAGCATTTAATGGTCATCTAATTGCCTTGTAAAGGCAGTAGTGAGGCCTTCTTCAACTGCTGCAGTCCATTTCGTGCATGTATACCCACAATGCCATTTGGAAAGGTGTTCACGGATTTTGATCCAGTAACGCTGAAGAAACAGCTTTCCACTTCTAAGTCAAGATGCTGAGTGCTTTGGAGTAGGAAGTTCTGGTGGTGCTGTTCCCATGTATCAGCTGCTCTTGACCTCTAGATGGTAGTGGTTGTTGGTTTGGAAGGTCTCATGTCAGGAGCCTCGGTGAATTTCTTCAGTGCATCCTGTAAATGGTACACACTGTTGCTACTGAATACTGGTGATGGTCTGGATATTACCCAGTTCTTGCTGCATTTAGAGGGAGGTGATGACCTAGTTAGTGCTCTAGCGACCCAGATCCTAAGCCCAGTATGGATGATGGTAGTATTTGAATTCAATAAAAATCTTGAATTAGAAGTCTAATGATGACGGTAAAACCATTGTTGTAAAAACCCATCTAGATCACTAATGCCCTTTAAAGGAAAAATACCATCCTTACCTGGTTTGGCCTACATGCAACGCTAGACCGCTATGATTTGATTCTGAACGGCCCTCTGAAATTACTCAGCGAGCCATTCAATTGTATCTACTGCTAAAATGTCTCAAATTAGATTGGAACTTTTAGCTTGAGGAAGTACTAAATTAAGATAAATAAAAACATTTAAAGAAACTGGTATGTATCTAATGTAACTGGAAATGAAACAAGCTTGAGTACATTACATTTGAAAGGTATATTCGACAAGATCAGAGGTGGCGTCTAATAGATAAATAATAACTGACCCATCTCTGGACTTATAATGGAGCCAGGTCTACTTTTGTTTCAATGAAAGACTTAAATTGTTTATGTAGTTACCACACAAAAATGTGACAGCCACTTCTAGGAAGAGAGTTGCCTAACAGGATCAGCACTTCTGTGCTAGGAGATGGTAAAACTTTATTTGAGGTGATAAATTAATCCTACAGGTTACATTGGATGTAACAGGTTTACGTTTTTGGGTGAGAACATCCCAAAGTATGCCAAGCGGCCCTGGGGACAGGCCATAGTCCTCTGTGTAATTTATTTTCATATTTTTCATAGAAGGCAGCATGAGTCTTGATTTGGTATAGCCTGCAGCTCACTGAGTTGGGAGAGTGAAAGGTGATTAATGTAATGAAACAGAGAAAACAATAACTTAACTGCTTACATAACATGAACGTGGGCTCATGCTCAGTTTGGAACTTGTGGGGAGACACATGCCGGAGATGTCTAGTTTAAATCTGGGGTAGAAATCTATAGAGGTTCTCAAAGCATCTTGTGTCAAAGGCAATCAGCAGTGTTAGAGCGGAAGGTTGTGAGAAGGCAGTTCAGTATCTGTCAGCTCACAGAACAAGGAATTAACAGTAATACGATGTTAAAGAAAAGTTGGAGTGGCACTTAACCAAAGCAAATGCATGGATCCCCATAAAATCTTACCTCAGAGAATAACTGAAACACTGTGGAAAATTAAAGTGAATTCCAGAGATGTCTGGTACACCATTCAGTTGGAACCAAAAGTAATGAATTAAACTTTAAGGATCATGTAAGGTACAAAGGAACATTTTTGGGCAATGTGGTGAGGGGAGCAAGCAAAATGTAGAACTGAATTTATAGTTTAAGAAGTTATAAACTATGATGCAAAATTAAGCCCCTTTGCTTAATTCATTTTATGTACTATAAAGATTATTTGTATAAAAATGTGAAAATTTATGATGTAGTTTTGACAGTTAATCACAGGATTTTTGGATTTATCTTTAAATGCTAATGATCTCTAACTGAAGTGCAATAACTGTGATTATAAGTACGTGCACTGGCACAGATTGTCTGTTTTAAAGACAAGAATTTGTGGGCTTTTATAACACAGTGGCCTAAATTCAAGTTTCATCTGCTCCAGAGATGCATCATAATTGAAGATATCCATAAAAGGGTTTGAGGAAAAATACGCCTGAAACAGAGATACAAGTATGATGGACAGAAATAAAAAAGAACCATGGCAGAAAAGGGGGTGACGCTTAAGAATTAAACAGGAAGAAACTTTGGCATTCTAAGTGACTAAAAAATTGTCGACGAGGGAATGTAAGTAACCTAAAGGAAGGAAATCCAATTAAAAACCTGAAGACATTTTATCCGAAATTGAAATAGCTCAGTTTATAACACGTTGCGTTATTTAAACCAAAACTGAACTCTCTCCAAATGTAGATCAAATCAGAAGCTTATATAAATTCTTGGAGGTGCGGGGTGGTGATGGTGAACAGACCACCGCCATTTCCAGTGATCATTTACATCGAAAACGACCATCCAGTTGGTTAAAGCAGTGAAAGGACTGGGGGCGGGCTGCTCTAATGTTTACCAGCCTGGGCAACCAGTGGGTGAACGACAGAAACCACCCCACTATCTGACGCACGCAATATCCCCACACTCCTTCACCTCAACCGATCCAGCTCACTGGCTTCTACCGCCCTCGTCAAAGATTCACCTCCCCCATCGCCATCTCCAATCACCAGTCTCCACGCCGTCGCCGAGACGCCTCCGCTCATTGGATCAAAGGCTCCACCGAAGTGTTCGCCCACCCTCTCCCCCGAACGACAGAACAAACCTCCCCCGGATTGGCCGGCACTTTGAGACCAGCCAACCGCCGCCCGGAGGAGAGGAAGTTGATGGAATCCGCGGCGGTTTCTTTTAATTGTGTTCCGCCTTTTCCGTTCGGCGTGGTTGCCACCGTTTTTTGTCTTCCCCCACTCCATAATTTGCCGTTGGTTCCCTGACAACCGATCGGTTCCTACCTGACCGGTGGAGGAGGTGGGGGAAGGAGATAGGTCAGACACAAGCGGCCCCGGACCGAGCGCCGCTCCTGTGTGAGTGATGTTAATGCGGGACTGAGACCCGGAGCTTTCAACCCCTCCCCCTTCCCCAATCCTTGGCCCGGTCCTAACCCCTTCTCCCCCCCACCCCGCTCACCAGTTACTATTTGCAGTAATACCGTCAAAATATTTTCAAAGCCCCGACGTGGTTTAGTTTTTCCTCAGCGCTTCCCCCCGCTTCTTCCGTTAACTGTTGTAAAATGGCGGAGCGTTCTGCTGTGGAGGTGAGGAGCCTGGTGTCTCACCCAGCCGGCTGGCAATCTCTCCTGTCCTTCACTGTCCTCTTCCTGGCCTGGTTGGCTGGATTCAGCTCCAGATTATTCGCCGTCATTCGTTTCGAGAGCATCATTCATGAGTTTGACCCGTGGTGAGTAACACGCGTGTGCTGCCGCCGAGCTTCAGTGTTTGGGGGGGACAGAGGGATCTTGGGCTGCGGGGGTTAGAAGGTGACGTGGGAAGAGAGAAAAGGGAAGCAGAGGGATGAAGGCGGAGAAAAAGGGGTGCAACATTGGTGGGGGAGGTCGGTGAGGACGTGGAGGGGGAATGCTGTACATAGAGGGGAAAAGGAGGGATGTGGCACGGAGAAATGGGACATGGGTGTGGGAGGACCTGCCGGTGGCGGGGGTAGGGGTGGGTGGGGGGAGGTGTGATACTTGGAGGAAAAGTGGAATTTTGGAGTGGGTGGGGGAGGAGGGGAGCGGGAGGCAGAGGGGGGAGGTTCATGGGTGGGTGTGATGTGCGAGGGGAAGAGAGGGCAGGATCATGTGGGTGGGTAGAGAGAGCACGGGCGGTGAGGGTGGGCTGATATGGAGGTTGAGAAAGGTGGCAGTGGGAGAAGGGGAAATGGGGAGGGGCAGATCAGAGGACTTGGAAAGGGGTAGTGTTGAATGAGAGCAGAAGGAAATGCGCTGGGATGAAGGGGGCATGGGAGTTGGCGTGGATGAGGGAATGCAGTGCATGGAGAGATCAAGGTGGCAGGAGTTGGGGGTGGACTAGGGAAGAGGTGGTCAGTAGATAAGAGTTGGTTGAACTTGGTGTGCAAGAGGGTCTTGGAGAAAAGAGAGCTTAGGGAGCAGCAGATAGTGACTTGAAGATTGGAAAGCTAATTGCAGGGGAGGATGACCTGGAGGTGAGAGATTGGGCAATGGGAAAATAAAAGTGAGACAGGAGCGTAGGATTTTGGGATGGGCAAGGGGAACATGAGGGGAGATTGCTGAATATTTGAGGAGCCAAGTTTGGCCAGGGTGAGGAGAGAGAAAGAGAGGCTGATTTTGGTTGTTCAGAAAGAAGAATTAAGATATCTGAAGTTGGCTACAGAGGAGGATGTCAGAGTTCTGGAGAAAGCGGGGGGATATCAAGTGTTCGGAACAGCCGTTGGAGCAAGGGGAAATCTAGATACTGGGGGCATTCGGAGCTAGTGAGAAGGATGAAGCATGGAAATCTAGAGAGCTAAGTGGGGACATGGGATTTAGGAGGAGGGTGAAGCATTGGATGATTTTAAAGCATGTGAATGGGGAGTGGAGAAATGAAGATAAGTGGTTTTGTCAGGATTTTGGGGAATCCTAGGATTCCAAGGTCTTGTGGAGCTTGTGTTGTGAAATGTGAAGAGTGCAGACAGGACGGAGGGACCGTGAAGACCAGATGATGGAGACTTCCAGGAGCTGAAAGCAGCACAGAGGGTTAGGGCAGTATGGTAACAGGGGAATAGAGATATGCAGAGCTGGGGATGTAGAAGAGGCCTTTTTTGGCAGATAAATGGGAACAGGAGAGTCATTAGAGTTGTGTTATGGGTACAGAAAGCATACAAAAATGGTACTTGAGGAGAGTAAGAGGTTGAGACCAGAAGATTAGATTATGCTGAGATGCTGGAACAGGGGTTTACGTATGGAAGGAGCAGGAGGCTTCGAGGAATAGCATACATAGGGTGAAGAACCAGGAAAGTTTAAGTGAATGAATGAAAATGGGAATAAATCAGGTAATGAAGCCGTGGGCCTGATTGGGAATGTAGACAAAATTAGGCAAAGAACAAAATGTTGAGCTGAGAAGTCGGAGAATAGAGAGGAGTTGAGGAAATTATAAGCAAGTTTGTTATTGTTTGATCAAAGAAGAAAATAGTGTAGATAGGCAAACAGTATATGGAAAGGATGGGGCAGGATTTTTAACTCTATTTAATACAAGCCTCCAGTTGTGAAACCATGTTATGGGTAGTTCTAATGCCCTAACTGATGTGATAAAATTTTCACGCAAGCTATCTAATTAGATGAGCATATTTCAGCTATGTTCAGGCAGATGTTTGAAGAACATTGACTATTCACCAAACTTTCTGTTTGGAGAGAAAATTCTACAATGAAAAATGGCAGTTTTAACTGTTAAACTTCTACAATGTTCTTTTTTTAATGAAATGGGTCTTGATTACCTAATTATGTAGATTTAAAAGAGAGAGAGCATTATCCCTGTCCCTGCTTGTGGATCATTTGAAATAATTTGCAGGTCAGTTGATTTTAAGGAAAACTGCTTGTGAAATATTAAAGGTCATTTGCTGTTTGCATTCTGTTAAACATATTTGAGAGATCTTTCGTAAATTTGATTTTAAATTTGAGAAAACAGATTAAGATTGATTTTGTAGTTGGTTAGTTCACATCTAACTTGTAAAACCATTGATGATAAGTTAATATTTATTGTCTTCCTGACTTCAAAGTTGTCTTGAGGGTTGCTATTCATGTTTTTCGTATCTTTGACAGTAAATTATTTTCCAGTTATATACTTGGAAGTTTAACGTTTGAGAAAGAAATTGGTCCATTGTGTGTGTTCTGGTGCTGTTCATATAAGTTGCTGTAATTTGAAAGATCCAAAAAGACTCATACTGATGACCAGTAGAGCTTATGGTTGGGGGAAAAAGAAATGTTCTCACAGTACATCAGTGTTTGATAATTCTGTACTATCCCGAGGATTGATTAATGCTTCACACTGAAATCCAAAAGATGCATCCAAACGTTTGTCAATATTATAAGCATGCATGCTCTATAATGGGGACCACAGATCAGCTGTCTGTGAAACACAATGACCTGATTAGAAGGTCACTATCACTATGCACGTTCTCCTGTTGTTTTTTTTAACCCAATATGGACCCATAAAAGGTGAATACAGGATTCTAAATGATGACTGGTGGTTCTAACACTTTTTGATAAAATGGCCAATAAAGTTTGAAACATATGTTACATCTTTGACATTTACAGTAGAAACAAAAATTACAGCAAGGGGTGGCACGGTGGCTCTGTGGTTGGCACTGCTGCCTCACAGGGCCAGTGACCCGGGTTTGATTTCAGCCTCGGGCGACTGGCTGTGTGGAGTTTGCACGTTCTCTCTGTGTCTGCTTGGGTTTCCTCCCACGGTCCAAAGATGTGCAGGGTGGGTGGATTGGCTATGCTAAATTGCCCATGGTGCCGGGGGATGTTTAGTTTGAGTGGGTTAGCCATGGGAAATGCAGGGGTAGGGGAAAGGGTCTGGGTGGGATGCTCTTCGGAGGGGCGGTGTGGACTTGTTGGGCCGAATGGCCTGTTTCCACACTGTGGGGATTCTATAATTATTCATGAGACTGAAAGATCAGAAAAAGAATTGTCTGTAATTTGCAACAAGTATGGTTGTTCAGTTAACAACTGAATACCCTTTGGAAAAAGTGGTCCAACAATGTCTGATAAGTAGTTAAAAGATAATTAACTTAAAATAAGGGGCTTGTAATGTCAAACATAAATAAACCCGAGGATTGTGAGGATTTTAGAATTCAGCAAAGGTTAATGTGTAAAAAGTTTGTAAAAGCTTCTAGGTACAAAAGAAGAATGAGTCAAAATGAACCCACAGGCAGAAACATTCCAAATTTATTGTTTGGAATACGGAACTAGCAGATATTAAACAATACTTTGTCATCTACTTGGAAGATAAATGCAGTAAAAAAAAATGTGAATAGTAAGTAGGAGACCAAGGGTCCAACAAGAATGAGGAACTGAGAAGAAATTGACTTTAGTAAGGCAATAATGCTGGAGAAATAATCAGATTAAAAGCAGATTAAAACCTGATAACCTATACTGTAAGGCTTATATTGAGAAGACTACGGATAGATGCATTAGTTTTAATTTTCAGAATTCCCTAGATTCCAGAACAGTCCCTGTGGATAACAAGGATAGCAAGTGTAACCCTGCTATTAACAACAAAAAAGGAGGGATTCCAAGAGAAAAATGAAATGAGGTGACTGACCCTGACATTAGTAGGAGGTAAATGTCTAGAGTGTATTTTTAAAATGTAACAGCAACTTGCTTAGGAATTTGGTCTTGTAGTTGGGCAGAAGCCAAGAGGATTTATGAAAGGGAATTAATTGTACTTGACAACTCTGTTCCTTTTATGTTTGGGATTGTAACGAGTAGGATATATAATGGAGTAACCAGTGAAAGTAGTGAATTTTGATTTGCAGAGGGACCACAGAAGAGACTGTTACCTAAAATCTATCGTGTGGGATTCGGGGAAATATATTAGCATGAATTCTTAAAGAACTTGACTGGCTAGGTGCTGGGTGGAATGCCTTTTGAATCTAGAAGATGGGTACTATCTCAGAACAGGAGGTCTGCCTCTTATATGCAGCCATATGAATTAGGAGCAGAAGTAGGTCACTCAGCCCTTCAAGCCTGCTGCACCATGCAAATTGTTCATGGCTAGTTTGTTTATATTCAGACTTTTCTGAATTCCTTGTGCCCATAATGTTAATGCTTAAATGTTTGATTCTCTTGCCTAACAAATCTCTTCACCTATTAAACATATTCAATAGCTTTGGCTCCACTGTCTTCTGAGAGTTACAATGTCAGGGTTGGGGTGGGTTGGTGATGGTGCAAGGGTTCTTGGGAGACTCCCTCTTCTCAGTCCTAAAAGGGTGAACCCTACTTTTGTGTCCTCAGTTCTGAGCCCCCCACAAAAGTGAACATCCTTTTCACATGTTATGACCTTCAATCAAATCTCTTATCACTCTTCTAAACTCCAGTGGGAAAGCGGCCCAGATTATTCAGTCTTTTTTAAGATGACCCGCTCATTCCAAGTATCAATCTATAAACCACATCTGAACTTACTCCAACTCATTTACGTCTTTAAATAAGGAGACCAAAATTGTACATGGTATTCAAGTGATCTCACCAGTGCCCTCTATGACTGAGACAACATCCTTGTCAATTGGGCTCTCAAAAGTTAGCTTTCCTGATGACATGATGTATCTGTGTATTAACCTTTTGAGATTCATGCACTAAACCACTTAGATCCCATTGCACCTTGGAATTCTGCAGTTGCTCTTCCTTTAAGTAATACTGTTTTTCAATTCCTGCCAAAGTG